GGAAAAGTTGCCCTTAACTTTCCTGTTTTGTTCTGTTTTTTTTTTTTTTTTTTTTTTTTTTTTTTTTTGGCGGTATGTTTCAGCATGCGTCTTATAATCCGGTGCGCCTTATGTTTGGGTTAGAGACAGAAATGGACGCCATAATTGAGAGTGTGCCTTATAATCTGGTACGCCTTATGGTCCAGAAAATACGGTAGCTTTATCCCATGTTTTTTTAAGATGGTGTCCGCCTCTTCCAAAGAGGTGAAAACGCTGCCAAAAAATCCTGTGGTTATGGAAGATGGTCACCGAGCTGGCAGAGCACGCTTTTTTCAGCCGTTTGTTTATGATGAGCAATCTGTAGTAATTTTCGTCTCCCCATTGAGTTGATGAAGTTGGACCACTGAGAAACAGCTTCATTTTTAGATTTCCAATAGTGTTCAGAAGACTGATGGTCCTTTTTCAGAATCTCTGATCTTTGTTTTGCCAGATCATTAGTACCAATATGTACAACTAGCCACTGATCAGTGGCTAGAGAGAGTATTTTCTCTGTTATATCAGACACTGTCACTGGGGAAGAAAATTACTCTCGTCGTCTTAGCATTGCAAAAATAACTCATTACATTTACTGCCTCATTTCCAACAATGAGCACTTTTGGCATTTGTTTCGTTGGTGTTCACTTTATGGGGTGGATGTGCTGATTTTGCATCAAACCTGTTGTTTGAAGGAGAGGTTTCCCTCAGAGGTAAAGCAAGGTAATTTCATTTATATAGCACATTTTCAGCAACAGTGCAATTCAAAGTGCTTTATATGAATTAGATGAAATACAAACAAAATAAAAGAAGCAAGAGAAAAATAAAAGTACACTACATATTGGTTTCAACTGGTACCGGCCTGTTCCATCATCCGCCAGACTATTGTTACAAGCGTAGTGTCCATGAAATCAGTGTAGCTTAGCCTAGCACCGAATATCAGCCATGACGAGGAAAGGTGGGACTTCCTTCAGAGGTCCGCTCACCCTGTGGGCCACACTAATATTATACTTTCAAATCACGTTGGGGGCCACGAGATGTCGTCCTGCGGGCCGCAAGAATGAGACCTCTGGTCTAGATGAAGGGTTTTCCCTGTTGGTTGTCTCATCAGATTCGAAGTGAGACTTTTTTTTTTTTCTAGCTAAACTCCCAGAGAGTTCAGGTTGAGCTGTTTGGTGTGGGGCATGCGAGTTCTCAGTTGATTTGAGGAAGAGTTGTTTCATTTCCACAGGCAGCATTTACCTCAAAGTTCACCTCCAGCTGTTGAATCTTCATTTCTATTGACTACAGACATTTTGTAATACTGAGCTTGTCGTTGTTTTGAGTCCTTAGTAGAGTTGAACCTATGTTAACCTTGGTATTCCTCTGCAAAATCTGAATCTTTATTTCTGCCGATTGGAGTCTTTGTATTATACTGCTAATGTCCCCAGAGTTGGCCAGAGGTATCTTGCCTTGGTTCAGCTTGGAAGTGGAAAAAGTAGAAATAAAAATAAAAGCCTTCCACAGTCCTTAGGTTTGAAGTAGTCCAGTTATGATGTTGACAGTGTAAGTATAATTTTAAAAACTGTGACTTTAAAATAACACGCAGGCAAAGTTATCAGTAAGGACGAGGGAGAGCAGGATATGTCATTCCTCCTTCAGCTAATGATCTGCTGTGAAAACCCATTTATCTGATTTATTTGTGTACTTTGTATTTATGAACCAAAGGGACACGATGGACAGCGTTAAGCAATCAGCTGCCTTGTGTTTGCTACGCCTCTATAAGACATCTCCTGACTTGGTGTTGATGGGTGAATGGACATCACGTGTGGTGCACCTACTTAACGACCAACACATGGTAAGAGCTGAGATGCAGGTTGCATCAAAATGAGCTGACACAGTTAACACTAATTGGTCACTAAATTTGTGAGCTCTTTGTGATGCAGGGTGTTGTGACAGCAGCAATCTCTCTCATCACCTGTTTGAGCCAGAAGAATCCAGATGAGTTCAAGACATGCGTTTCTTTGGCTGTGTCCCGACTCAGCCGGGTGAGTGTGGCAACAAAACACATTGTGGGTTTTAATTTCTGTAAATGCTGTTCATTTCCAAGCACTATTTTTGATGAAAGTTCAGATCTGTATTCCATGATCACTTACATTTATCATGGAAATTATTTTGTTATAAGAATTTTGATTTCATTGTCACAATAAATGTCAGTTAATGTAAAAAAAAACAAAAAAAAAACTAAAATGTGTTTTAGTTTTAAAAGTGTCAACTTTGCATTCAGAGTGTCACTATTTACCGAATGACATAAGTCATAAACATCCACGAGGACTCCTTCATGTTTGACAGCTGTTATGTCATGTTTGTGACAGTGTCATGTCAGGTTTACGCTCACCTCGTCAAATAAAGTGTTTCCAGAATTTTATTGGCCAGGGGATATATCACTCTATCTACTTCGACAAAGATAGCTCGTGACTGTATAAGCAGCTCTCGATAAAAGGTTGTTTGTTGCTAAAGTCTTAATAG